GTCGTTGTCTCACGTGTCGGTTGGAGGTCCGACGAAGGCGGGGTCCTTGCGCGCGACCTCTCCCCGGGCTCGATGACGCATCCGTCTCCGACGAGAGCAATGGCGTGGACATGGGTTCGTTGGCACTCCCGATGGCGGACCCTCGTGGCCGATTCTCGGCGCTGAGAGCGCTGCCTTCCCTGGCTTCGATCCTGGCCCTGACCCAGAAGAGCCCGCCCACCGCGCTGATCGCCCTGCTCCGCGGTGTGACCGAGCTTGCGAAGTGGCCGTCGCCAACGCATCGCTCCCTCATGTACCTCAAGATGGGCGTGCTGGGGATGCTGGCTTGGTGCCACCTGGACCAGGCGTTCCTCCTGTTTCACCACCTTTTTCCTGATGCATCGGGGGACGCGATTGTGGAGCCGTCGTCTGCCGACCGGTGCAACATGTCCATGCAGACGGCGATGGCTGACGAAGCCGAAACTTTTCTGGATGCGATGGGCGCGCATGCTGAGTTACCTCATCAAAGGGACAGAGCATGACCGCCTCATGCTGGAGGCCACCGAGGAGGCAGAGGCGGACGACGCCTTCTTTTAGGTGCCGGCTGGGGCGGTGGTGGCCCAGCTGCTGACGGCACGGGTCCTCCCGTCCTCCATCATCATGTGGATTCCCCGCAGCCTGTGGGACTGGGCGCCTGTCCTCCATCGGCGGTGAACAACATGGACACCGACGGCTCCATGGACATCTTCGACGGTCACGCCGTCGTTGCCACCGAGGAGGAGGAGGGGGAGGAGGAGGAGGAGGAGGAGGAGGAGGAGGAGGAGGAGGAGGAGGAGGAGGACGAGGAGGAGGAGGAGGAGGAGTACTCGGGCGACGGTTTGTGCGACGACATCACCAGTGGGGAGCAGTTCGGGGTCTCCGACTTGCCACTTGCCCCATGAGGCCCGGCTCCGCGGGGGGCGTGTGCTGCGTGCGCCGCGCGGCCTAGGCGAGCCGACGCCTGACCTCCTTCCGGGGCGCGGCCTCCTCCTCCTCCTCCTCCTCCTCCTCCTCCTCCTCCTCCTCCTCCTCCTCCTCCCCTTCCTCCTCCTCCTCCTCCTCGCCCCCCTTGCTTGGATTGCAGGGTCCCCGTCATCGACTCGGGGATAGCCAAAGCACCCCGGAGACATTGGGGCGGTCGGCGCCGCCTGTATCGGTGGGGTATAACTAGAGCCGGGGACCAGGCCGCAGGACTGGCGGAGGCGGGAGGGGTCGCGCCTCCCCCGTGGGCCCCGTGGGAAGGGGGGAGGCTGCTGTGGGACTGTGCCCCTCCCCTCCTCTCTCCCTTCCCTCGTCTCCTCCCCCTGTCGTCTCCTCTCCTCCCCCTGGGGTTCACAGCTCCCGCGGCGGTTCACCCCCCCGCCGGGGCGCGCCGCCGCCGTGGTGGTCGATGGTCGCCGCGTGCGCTCCAGGAATCTCGGCCCTGTCGCCCAGCACAGGTGTGGGGGTAGGCGGCAGGCTCGTTTTCGTCGTCTCTGCCGTCGTGTTCACGGCTGAGAGGATCAGGCAAGCGAGATCCAGGCGAAATCCTCCTCCTCCTCGTCCTCGTCCTCCTCCTCCTCCTCCTCCTCCTCCTCCTCCTCCTCTCCCTTCCCCCTCCCGCTCCCCCTTCCCCTCCCCTTCCCCTCCTCCTCCTCCTCCTCCTCCTCCTCCTCCTCTCCTCTTCCTCTTTCGCCTCCTCCCCCTTCGCCTCCTCCTCCTCCTTCTCCTCCTCCTCCTCCTCCTCCTCTCCTCTCATCATCATCATCATCATCATCATCATCAGCATCATCATCATCAGCATCATCATCGTCCTCATCATCATCACCACCATCATCACCAGCATCACCGTCGTCATTTGCAGTATTATCAACAGCATCATCACACGCAGCAACATCATCATCATCAGCTGCATCGTCATCACCATCGTCATCATCATCATCAGCATCACCATCATCACCACCATCGCCATCATCATCATCCTCATCAGCATCATCATCATCATCATCATCAACACCAGCATGAGCATCATCGTTTCCCTTACCCCTCTTGTGATGATTCCTCCTCCTGCACCTACACTTCCTCCTCCTTCTCCTCCTCCTCCTCCTCTTCCTCCCTCCTCCTCCTTCTCATCCTCCTCCTCCTCTCCCTCCTCCTTTCCTCCTCCTCCTCCTCCTCCTCCTCCTCCACTTCCTCCTCCACCTCCTCCTCCTCCTCCTCCTTCTCCTCCTCCTCTCCTCCTCATTCTTTCACCAGGTCACGGGCCCACTCTGTCAATAACGCGCGCGCTCACGCACCAACCCACGCTCACGCACTCGCGCATTCACTCGTTGATCCACCCACCAGCCCACGCACCAACCCATTCATTCATCCATTCAGTCGTGCAATCAATAAGTCAGTTACTCAGTCATTCAGTCACCTCACTCATTCACTTACCAATTCCTCACTCAGACATTAATTCACTTACTCACTCACTCACTCACTCACTCACTCACTCACTCGCTCATTCACTTACCGCGATGCGTCGTGAAAGGCGGATGCCTAAACAACCAAGTGCCCCACTGCGTTCTGAGGCGATTGGGCCCCCGAGCAGCTGACGCCGGCGACGCTGGCTAGCATGTGCTGGGGCAGGGGGCTGTCGGCCACGGCTGCTGCAGTTGCTGTCGCGAGGAAGCAGGGGGAGGCTGGGGGGAGGATGAGGTGAACAATCTCGTGAAAAGGGGGGCAGACAAAATGAGAATGGGGGAAAGGGTGGGAGGGAAGAGGAGGACGAGGAGGTGGAGGAGACGGAGGAGGAAGACGAGGAGGTTGAGAAACACGAGGAGGAGATGGAGAAGGAGAAGGAGGAGAAGGAGGAGAAGGAGGAGGAGGAGGAGGAGGAAGAGGATGAGGATGAGGAGGAGGAGGAGGAGCAGGAGGAGGAGGAGGGGGAGAGAAGGAGGAGGAGGAGAGAGGAAGAGGAGGAGGAGGAAGAGGAGGAGGAGGAGAAGGAGGAGGGGAAGGAGAAGGAGGAGGAGAAGGGGAGGAGGAGGAGGAAGAGGAGGAGCAGGGAGGAGGAAGAGGAGGAACAGGGGGAGGAGGAGGAGGAGGAGGAGGAGGAGGAGGAGGATCGAAACGACAACAGCGGCAGCGCAGGGAGGAAACGCAGGGGCAGGCAGGAAGCGAGGGAGCAGCAGAACACGCAGACATCCAGCGGCTCCCACTTTTTCGATGCGTGGGCCCCGGAGGTCCAGACCATTTCTCTCGAGTTAAGTTGCGCCTGTCCCTCTACAGGAGGAATTCTCAACAATTATTCACTGCGTGGAGCTCCCCATATGTGCATCTACTCGCATGGACCTGTCCGCCGTGAATGTCTAGGCGCAAGAGCTTTCGAAAATTAACGGGCTTCAGTTGTGACGGTCTGGATATCAATCTAACTGCGAATGAATTGGAGTGTGAATGAGCCTCAGTAGTACGAGCGCGTCTCTGTGCATGAGCCTGGGGCCTCCTGGGGCCTCCTGAAACCTACTGGGGCTTCCTGGGGTCTCCAGGAGCCTCTTGGGACCTCCTGGGACCTCCTAGGAAGGTTTCGTGCCCCAGGAGAGGCGCAATCTATAGCAACAGACGTACATAAAACATTGCGGATTAGAGCCACAGGAGAAGGGCAATCTATAGGAACACGCGTAAAACACCAAGGACTCGTGCCCCAGGAGAGGCCCAATATATAGGAACATGAGTAAAACATTTAGGATTGTGTACACAGGAGAAGGACCATCTATAGAAACATACGTAGAACATCAAAGAATCGTGCTCCAGGTGAGGCCCAATCGATAGGAGCATACGTAAAACACATGGGATTGGAGCCACTCCTGTTGCCTTCTGAGGCCTCCTGCTCCTGGGGCCTCTCGGGGCCTCCTGTTGCCTTCCGAGGCCTCCTGGCGCTTCCTGTTGCCTCCTGGGGCCTCCTGTGGTTTCCTGAGGCCTTCTGGAGCTTCCTGGGGCCTCCTGGAGCCTCTTGGGACATCCTGTGGCCTCTTGAGTCTTTCTGTGGCCTCCTGATGCCTCCTGGGACCTCATGTGGTCTCCTGGGGCCTCCTGGAGCCTGTTGGAGCCTCCTGTGGCATCCTGAGAAGAATCTGCGCCCACGAGCCTGGCCACCAAAACAAGCAAACCGATCGAGACATCCTCAAAATCTGGCCCACCTGGGGGGTGAAAATGAGCGCCTCGCTCGAGACATCCTCCAAATCTGCTCCGAAAGCGAAGGATGTTGAGCCCAGAAACAAGCAAACCGCCTGAGACATCCCCACAAAATGGCCGCGAACGAGCCCGTGCAACCACCCCTGGCGGCTCCCCTTAGGGCCACGAGCCTGGCCACCAAAACAAGCAAACCGATCCAGACATCCTCAAAATCTGGCCTACCTGGGGGGTGAGAATGAGCGCCTCGCTCGAGACATCCTCCAAATCTGCTCTCCAAGCGAAGGATGTTGGGCCCAGAAACAAGCAAACCGCCTGAGACATCCCCACAAAATGGCCGCGAACGAGCCCGTGCAACCACCCCTGGCGGCTCCCCTTAGGGGTGCTGAAACCAGCGCCCCGCCTGAGACATCCTCACAATCTGCTCTCCAAGCGAAGGATGTTGGGCCCAGAAACAAGCAAACCGCCTGAGACATCCCCACAAAATGGCCGCGAACGAGCCCGTGCAACCACCCCTGGCGGCTCCCCTTAGGGGTGCTGAAATGAGCGCCTCGCCTGAGACATCCTCACAATCTGCTCTCCAAGCGAAGGATGTTGGGCCCAGAAACAAGCAAACCGCCTGAGACATCCCCACAAAATGGCCGCGAACGAGCCCGTGCAACCACCCCTGGCGGCTCCCCTTAGGGGTGCTGAAACCAGCGCCCCGCCTGAGACATCCTCACAATCTGCTCTCCAAGCGAAGGATGTTGGGCCCAGAAACAAGCAAACCGCCTGAGACATCCCCACAAAATGGCCGCGAACGAGCCCGTGCAACCACCCCTGGCGGCTCCCCTTAGCGGTGCTGAGTATGAGTAAGTCTGTGTATGAGGAAGTCTGGGTATGAGTAGGTCTGTGTATGAGAAAGTCTGTGTATGTGTACGTCTGGGTATGAGTAAGTCTGAGTATGACTAATACTGTGTATGAGTAAGTCTGGGTATGAGTGAGTCTGTGTATGAGTACGTCTGGGTGTGAGTAGTATGAGTAAGTCTGTGTATGAGTAAGTGTGAGTATGAGTAAGTCCGACAGGAGGGGAGGAGGAGGGAGGAGAAGGAGAAGTAGGAGGCGTCCAAGTAATAACAAGAACCCCATCTTAGGATATGGGGGAAAATAGTAACAAATAGTCAGGGGGCGATTTGTTCTATAGTTTTTTGACTATTTTGGTGTATTGTTTGACTGTTTGACAATTTTCAACTTTTCGTCCCAGATCCTCCTGTAGGTGGACATGCCCGACCTACCTCTGGAGCCGGTTTTTCGACCTGAGTCGTTCTTGCACGCTGCCGAAGCCCAGCGCGGGCCCCCAGAGGCCGAGAACGCCGCCCAAACCGCCCGCTCCGTTTTTTTGTTGGGGCGTCGGATCTCGGGGCACGATGGGAAGCCCGTTGCTGCGCCGGCCGGGGGCGAGGTGGGAGCAGAACTTCGGCGGCTACCCGATGGGGCAGTGGGACCCCGGCTTCGGCGTGTACCCGGCAGCGCACCCGCCCCCGAGGGGCCGAGGCGGCCGCCTCTGGTCGCCGTCGCCGTCGCCGTCGCCGTCGTCGTCGCCGTCGTCGTCGTCGTCGTCGTCGTCGTCGTCGTCGTCCTCGTCGTCGTCCACCTCGTCCTCGTCCACCTCGTCCTCGTCCACCTCGTCCTCGTCCTCGTCGTGGTCGTCGTCGTCGTCGTCGTCGTCGTCGTCGTCGTCGTCGTCGTCGTCGTCGTCGTCAGAGCCGGCAGAGTCGTCAGAGTCGTCGTCGTCGTCAGAGTCGTCAGAGGCGTCATAGTCGGACGTGGAAGTGGGGAACAGAATGAGGAGGGTGATGATGAGGAAAATCAGGAGGCGGAGGATGTTTGGGAGGAGAACGTCGCCTCCGACGAGTCCCATGTGCTTTGGAGAATCTGCACACGTCTATTGTATGATGCCTTCCTGAGTATGTATCTTTAGCTACGTGCGGCCATGTGCAGACATATTGCACATACTTTGCATGGATGGCAAGCCGTGGCGTAAGAGAACACGCTTCTTGACCACGCACATCGATCTCAATCGAGTGGTCAACCAGTGCACGTCGTGCGATGGAATTTGTTGCCTCCATCTCAGTCTAACCCTGGAAGGCAAAGATGAGAAATGGGTGTGTGGACACACATATCGGAACCCTATCCCAGGAGGTTGTGCTTTCGGATGTCGGCATGGACTCCAGCAGTGCCTCGTTGCTTTTGAAGAATATGTAAAAGTTGCTGGTATATCTGCGCGAACGAAATGGGCACGGAAAGAATGGGTACAATGCCCAACAGCAGTTCTGGTTCATTTTGAACAGGACTCGCTGTCCGCGCCGCCGCGACCTGTGTCCATTTGAGACAGGAGGCCGCTGCCCAACAGCGGCCGCTGTTGGTTTGGAGCAACACTTGTTGTTGGGCATTGTACCCATTCTTTCCGTGCCCATTTCGGGCGTCCAAAGTATAAGCCCACCCGCCCAAACCCAGAGGACTGGCTCGCAGGAGGATCTTGAGCGCTGTGTCAGCTCGCCTGTTCTGTTCGGCCGCGTGGTGGTCCTCTCGGCCATTCTTCGGGGGCACCTTGGGCCACGGGCACTTCGAGCATCGCCCAGCATGGATATGTATGTATAATACACACTTACATATTTATATTGGCGTGTATATATATATATATGATGCACCTGCGTATACCCCTCATGCGGTCGGAAGATGCAATGGTGCATCAGCTTTGAGCTGCTCCATCACTTCTTGAACCACAGAATTCTACCGTTGCACTGTTGCAGGAAAGTGGGAGCGATGGCGCAGATTCCCTTTCCAGAGCCGCACACGAGCGCACTTGCTGTTGAATTCGACGCTCGCATCGCTGGATTAGCAAAGAGCTCGTGCAGAGCTGTCAACGACTCTTTGGACCTGCGCCTTCCCTCCAGATTGAAGGTGCTTGGCTCTTCGTCTGCCCCGGACTGTGAGCCCTCTGTGCAGGGGAGGAGGATGCAAGAGCACCAGCGAACACTGGAAAAGGTGACTCCGACTACCGTGGCCGCAACGCTGGATCAGTTCCAGACCCCCGACGTCGTGATTTTTTACAACGTCGACCCCCAGAGGTCCGGACCCCTTCCCCGGGACCGGTTTCTCGTCCAGAGTCGTTTTCTGACAGTCCCGAGGCCCGGAAAGGGCCCCCCGGAGGCCGAAAATAGCGAAAAAACCTTACGTCGTGGTTTTTTCACAACGCGAGGAGGTCTGGGGTTCAAGCACGCTCTCGCAGGGGCTCTCACGGCGACGCTCCGTGCGGCTCTGACTGCTTTGGGCAGCTCGCTGCGCGACGCCCTCCTCGAGCTCCGGAAGGATCTGGAGGACCAGCCGCAGGCGCTCCATCCGTGGCCCCGCAGTCCCAGTGCGCCGAAGGTGGGGACGCTCCGCCACTGGTCGTGCCGCCCGCTCCTCGAAACGCGGCGTCGCGTGCTGCGTCTCGTGTGGACGTCTAGTTCGAGTTTGGCGAGCTGTTGATCAGTCATGGTCTGTCGTCCCGCATGCTCAAGGGGCACGCGGGCAGAGTGCGTGGGCACTGCGGAGACCGCGTCCAAGGCGAGGTCCTTGGCGCGGGCGGCGTCCAGCTGATCAAGCCGTCGAATCTTCGCCACGACGTGGAGAGAACACTTGACGGATGTCTGGGACGCACTTCGTCTTCTGGTCCTTCCCTTTCGACTCCTACATCGGGCGGGCATCCTGGTGGCCCTAATCTACCAGGGGCAACTTCTACGAGAACCTATGAGCAGGCTGCCGCCAGCTCCCGGTAGCTAGATTGAACCGATGCGAGCTACGAGCGGGGTGTGCGACGAGTGGTTCGTGGACGACGGCCAGTTGTTCTGCAGCCCGCGCCTGCTCGACCCGTGGCTCCGTCTTTTCGACGAGAGGATCGCGCGCCTCGGGGCGTCGCGTGGGCGCGGCGAGAACGTGAAGAGCGTGGTTCGCCTCATCTGCCGCCCAGGCCAGGGGGATTCGACGCAGGGTTGGGTGACAGATTACGTCAGGAACACGTGCCGCGTGGCTGCCCCGAACAGCGCCACAGTCACGTTGGGCGTCACCTTCGGCACCGACGACGAGATCCAGAACGGCGCCCAGACGACGCGCGAGAAAGTCGCCGCGGCCAGGCGAGCCATCTCCGAGATCGACCACGTAGGCACAGAGTTGGTCTTGACGAGGAGGTGCGCTGACGTTTCGAAGTTGTCCTATGCTCTACGGTGCGTCGGTGACAAGGTACATGGCGCACCAGCGGCATCCTTCGACAGAGACCTCCGGAGCGCTGTCGAGGACGCACTGGGCGGGTCTCTGCCCGACGCGGCGTGGTGGCAGGCCTCCGCAGGGGTGGCGCATGGCGGCCTTGGTTTCCGGACGGCCCGCGAGGTCGCGCTGCCATCGTTCATCGGCAGCCGAGTGGCAGCACGCCCGCTAGTACCAGTCATGTTCGGCCACTTGGAAGAGGCTGCCCTCGGGCGCGCAGCGGACCTCCTGCGGCTGTGCGACGCGCGCACGCAGGCTGCGATCAACGCCTTCCTCGCCAAGATGCCGCCGGAGTGCGCGGACGAGATCCGGGACCACGCGCGGGACGGGTTCGAGAGCGCCGCCCTGGCGTGGCAGCGGCTGCAGGACGGGGGGGATGCCGCCCAGCGGGCGGATGATGGGTCCGAGCCCCGCGCAGACGCCATGCGAGCAATGGCGTCTCCCGCGGCCGGCCTGCTACCCGACGCGGGCGCCGAGGACGACGAGCGCCCCGATGCACGGGGGGCTGCGCGCGGCCCCCGGGTGCAGAGACTGCTTACCGCAGTTGTTGACAGGTGCGTCGCCGCGGGCGCGAAACAGTATTAATGCGGAGGGCGGCTCCAGCCACGTGCGCCGCCTCGAGGACCTGGCCCACCCCGACGTGGACCATGCGCGGCTGTGGTGCCTCTCCCACGCGCACGGGCGGGTGTTAGACAACGACGAGTTCGCGGAGGCCGTGCGGGTCCGCCTCGGAGCTGGGGGGCCAACGGATGCAGGCGCATGCGGTGCTTGCGGGCAGGTGGTGCTTGATTCTGGTGGCAGCCACGCTTCCTGCTGCGCTGTGGGCGATGCCACTCGAGGCCACAACGCCGTGCGTGACCTGCTCTACGACTTCTCCTTGACAGCTGACGACACCACTGAGAAGGAGCCTCAGGGGTTGATCCCTTCCCGTCCAGCGCTTCGCCCCGCTGATGTGTTATCCCCCGCGGTCCTGTCGGGCCGCGCGGCGGCGATGGGCGTAGGAATCGCTTCCGTGGAGGCCGCGAGTGGCGGAGACGCTGCCGAGGCGATGCACCAGCGGAAAACAAGGGAACGAGAGCCTTTCGCGGACGAGCTGGCGTCCCAGAACATCGTCTACATGCCAGTGGTATGGACGAACTTCGGCCGCCCGCACCCAGGCGCGCTCACTGCGATCCGCGCGATCGCGAGGCGGGTCGCCAGGCGGCGCGGGCACGCGTCGCAGAAGGTCGTGCTGCGCCAGTTCTTACGGAACCTGGGCGCTGAGATCGCCAGGCGCGCGGCGCGCATGAGCCTGGCATGCTGGCCCGTGGCCGAGGAGGCGCCGGCCGGCGAGGGGGGCAGGCCTCCCGGGCTCTAGCCCGGCGCCGCTGTGCGCGCCGCCCGCCGGCGCCCAGGGCATCCTGAAGTAGCGGTGGCGCCCGGTCGCTTGCTGCCCTGAGGGCTCCTCCCCCGACGTTCCCCTCCTCCTCCTCCTCCTCCTCCTCCTCCTCCTCAGAGCCTCCTTCTCAGCCTGCCCAGGCTGGGGGCTCTTATCTTTCACGTACACGCACTACCACTTCCGAGGTGCGCAGCCTCGAATGACCAAACAGCATGTTCCTTGGGTTCCTTCTCGCTCTTCTGCTGCCGACGATTGGAAGCTGGCCGCGGCACAGCCCGAGTTCCTCAAGTGTTGGTCATGCGGTTGTGGGAAGAACAAGCGGTCTGCAAACAATTGCTCCCAGTGCGGTGCCCCCCTACACGCCCGAGGGCCCTGGGTCGACCTGCGGCTCAAGCCGAGCCTCGGGCAGATCAGAAGCCCGGGCGCTGGCGCAACGGACGGGCGGCAGCTGATGGCGAGGCGGGGGGCAAGGGAGCTCCCAAGGGGGGCAGGGCCGAGGGCGGCAAGGGTCAGGCAGGAGAGGCGCGTCAGCCACTTCGCTCTGGCCCCCAGTTCGCCAGCGGCTCAGACCCCATGGCCTTCAATGTCAATGAGATGCAGCGAGAGGAGGTCCTGCAGCTCGCGGCCCTGGCGGAGAAGCATGGCCTCGCGATGGTCTCCAGTCAGTGCAAGTTCCGCCTTCTGGATCTGGATCGTCTGACTGCTGCTCCTGCTGCGATCCCGCCCGAGAAGCAATTGTACAACTTGGTTGAAGAGAGAGACGTCCATGCCAAGCGTATGGAGAAAGAACTTGACCTGGTCGACACATGGGAGAAGAGTATGGCTCGTCTGAGGCAGAAGATCCAAGAACTCAGCGATGAGCTGGACTCCTACGACGCCAAGATCGCGGGCTTCAAGCTCAGGCTCACCGAGCACTCCCATCAGGCAGCCGTCGCCGAGGCTGCCGAGCCTACTGGTGCGCGCTTGGACTCGCTCCTCGACGGCTCTTTCAGGATCGACTGTGGGAACTTGTTCGAAGTGGGCGATGAGGAGTATGAGTTGTCTGGCACGGACAAGCAGGAGCTCCAGCAGCGCAAGCAGAAGCTGGAGGCGCTCATCGCAGACAATGCAACATCGCTTTTCTCTCAGGCAAAGGAACAGTTCGAGAAGCTCAAAGCCGAGCACGCTGCCCAGTGTTCCAGGCTCACGAAGAAGCGCAAGGCCGAGGATGGCACTGCGCGAGGGGCGGCTGGCGAGGCAGCGGCAGCCTCGGGCCCAGGGCTGGGCGCGGCCCAGGTGCCGCCGCCGCTGGTGGACCCCTCAGCGGAGACGCCCGCTGTGGTACCTGATGTTCGGACTCGCGCTCGGGACAGCAAGGCCAAGTTGGAGCAGGCAGGGGCCCCCGAAGGCGCCGCTGCCTGAGGGGGCCCAGTCCTCTGGCTCCAAGGGCGCTCGGTCCGTGCGCCCGAGAGGCTACTCGCCTCTGGATGTGTTGCCAACCTTCTGGGCTTCGAATCCTGAAGACCTAGATTGGCCTGACCTGAATTTCCCTGTCGCAGCTGCAGCTGGCCCTGACGAGCTGTTGCTGGCTGGTCGTTGGCGCCCACAGCCAGCGCCTGCGGCCGTGGGGAGGCCACCGAAGGGCGCGGGGGTAGGGGATTCAGCCCCCGACCGTCGAGCCCCCGCGCCCACGGGGAGAGCTCGTTCGGCTACCCTCCCTGGATCTACTGGTACGATCGTCGGCTGCAGCGGCTGCTGTGGCACAGGCCCCCATCGGCGCCAGCAGCGACGCCGCCGCCGCGGAGACCCCAGCAGCCCGGGGGACCGCCGCCGCCGCGCCTCTGGCGCCCGTGGGGGCCCAGCCACATGAGCGACACGGAGGGGCAGAGGCCTCTCCCTCGGCCAGCGCGAGCGCCGCCGCCGCGGAGGCTCCAGCAACCTGGGGACCCGCCGCCGCCGCGCCGCTGGCCACTGGTGAGGCCCAGCCACATGAGCGACACGGAGGCGCCCCAGCGGGGCTCATTCGTCGTCATGCTGCTGGCCCCGATGGCACGCACTGCTCGCCTCTTGCCCTTGCGGCATCTGAGGTTGAGGGTACCGACCATCGGGGGGCCTCGACTGGCGAGAACGCGAGCCTGAGCACGAGAGGCCCCGCTGGGGCTGGTCGGGACCCTCCCCCGCTGGGCGCCCTATCCACGGGGGAGTCTTTCGTCGCCGCTGAGGATGATGGTGTAAAGCTCTCGGCTCAGGCAGATGTCGTGACCGCGGTCGCCGCTCAGCTGCCTGGCTCTCAGGACAGTGAGGCCAAGGTCACCGACACACTCAACGACGACACCCTCACGCTGATCACGTACAACTGCAACGCTTGGTCGACGGCTCAGGCGTTGTGGGCGAGGCCACTCGAGGCCACAACGCCGTGCATGACCTGCTCTACGACTTCTCCTTGACAGCTGACGACACCACTGAGAAGGAGCCTCAGGGGTTGATCCCTTCCCGTCCAGTGCTTCGCCCCGCTGATGCGTTGTCTCCCGCGGTCCTGTCGGGCCGCGCGGCGGCGATGGACGTAGGAATCACTTCCGTGGAGGCCGCGAGTGGCGGAGACGCTGCCGAGGCGATGCACCAGCGGAAAACAAGGGAACGAGAGCCTTTCGCGGACGAGCTGGCGTCCCAGAACATCGTCTACATGCCAGTGGTATGGACGAACTTCGGCCGCCCGCACCCAGGCGCGCTCACTGCGATCCGCGCGATCGCGAGGCGGGTCGCCAGGCGGCGCGGGCACGCGTCGCAGAAGGTCGTGCTGCGCCAGTTCTTACGGAACCTGGGCGCTGAGATCGCCAGGCGCGCGGCGCGCATGAGCCTGGCATGCTGGCCCGTGGCCGAGGAGGCGCCGGCCGGCGAGGGGGGCAGGCCTCCCGGGCTCTAGCCCGGCGCCGCTGTGCGCGCCGCCCGCCGGCGCCCAGGGCATCCTGAAGTAGCGGCGGCGCCCGGTCGCTTGCTGCCCTGAGGGCTCCTCCCCCGCCGTTCCCCTCCTCCTCCTCCTCCTCCTCCTCAGAGCCTCCTTCTCAGCCTGCCCAGGCTGGAGGCTCTTATCTTTCACGTACACACACACTACCACTTCCGAGGTGTGCAGCCTCGAATGACCAAACAGCATGTTCCTCGGGTTCCTTCTCGCTCTTCTGCTGCCGACGATTGGAAGCTGGCCGCGGCAAAGCTTGAGTTCCTCAAATGTTGGCCATGCGGTTGTGGGAAGAACAAGCGGTCTGCAAACAATTGCTCCCAGTGCGGTGCCCCCCTACACGCCCGAGAGCCCTGGGTCGAACAGCCTGCGGTTCAAGCCGAGCCCCGGGCAGATCAGAAGCCTGGGCGCTGGCGCAACGGACGGGTGGCAGCTGATGGTAAGGCGGGGGGCAAGGGAGCTCCCAAGGGGGCCAGGGCCGAGGGCGGCAAGGGTCAGGCAGGAAAGGCGCGTCAGCCACTTCGCTCTGGCCCCCAGTTCGCCAGCGGCTCAGACCCCATGGCCTTCAATGTCAATGAGATGCAGCGAGAGGAGGTCCTGCAGCTTGCGGCCCTGGCGGAGATGCATTGCCTCGCGATGGTCTCCAGTCAGTGCAAGTTCCGCCTTCTGGATCTGGATCGTCTGGCTGCTGCTCCTGCTGCGATCCCGCCCGAGAAGCAATTGTACCACTTGGTCGAAGAGAGAGACGCCCATGTCAAGCGTATGGAGAAAGAACTTGACCTGGTCGACACATGGGAGAAGAGTATGGCTCGTCAGAGGCAGAAGATCCAAGAACTCAGCGATGAGCTGGACTCCTACGACGCCAAGATCGCGGGCCTCAAGCTCAGGCTCACCGAGCACTCCCAGCAGGCAGCCGTCGCCGAGGCTGCCGAGCCTACTGGTGCGCGCTTGGACTCGCTCCTCGACGGCTCTTTCAGGATCGACTGTGGGAACTTGTTCGAAGTGGGCGATGAGGAGCATGAGTTGTCTGGTACGGACAAGCAGGAGCTCCAGCAGCGCAAGCAGAAGCTGGAGGCGCTTATCGCAGACAATGCAAAATCGTTTTTCTCTCAGGCAAAGGAACAGTTCGAGAAGCTCAAAGCCGAGCACGCTGCCCAGTGTTCCAGGCTCACGAAGAAGCGCAAGGCCGAGGATGGCACTGCGCGAGGGGCGGCTGGCGGGGCAGCGGCAGCCTCGGGCCCAGGGCTGTGCGCGGCCCAGGCGCCGCCGCCGCTGGTGGACCCCTCAGCGGAGATGCCCGCTGTGGTACCTGATGTTCGGACTCGCGCTCGGGACAGCAAGGCCAAGTTGGAGCAGGCAGGGGCCCCCGATGGCGCCGCTGCCTGAGGGGGCCCAGTCCTCTGGCTCCAAGGGCGCTCGGTCCGTGCGCCCGAGAGGCTACTCGCCTCTGGATGTGTTGCCAACCTTCTGGGCTTCGAATCCTGAAGACCTAGATTGGTCTGACCTGAATTTCCCTGTCGCAGCTGCAGCTGGCCCTGACGAGCTGTTGCTGGCTGGTCGTTGGCGCCCACAGCCAGCGCCTGCGGCCATGGGGAGGCCACCGAAGGGCGCGGGGGTAGGGGATTCAGCCCCCGACCGCCGAGCCCACGCGCCCACAGGGAGAGCTCGTTCGGCTACCCTCCCTGGATCTACTGGTACGAGTGGGTCGCGTTCGTCGGCTGCAGCGGCTGCTGGGGCACAGGCCCCCATCGGCGCCAGCAGCGACGCCGCCGCCGCGGATGCCCCAGCAGCCCGGGGGACCGCCGCCGCCGCGCCTCTGGTGCCCGTGGGGGCCCAGCCACATGAGCGACACGGAGGGGCAGAGGCCTCTCCCTCGGCCAGCGCGAGCGCCGCCGCCGCGGAGGCTCCAGCAACCTGGGGACCCGCCGCCGCCGCGCCGCTGGCCACTGGTGAGGCCCAGCCACATGAGCGACACGGAGGCGCCCCAGCGGGGCTCATTCGTCGTCATGCTGCTGGCCCCGATGGCACGCACTGCTCGCCTCTTGCCCTTGCGGCATCTGAGGTTGAGGGTACCGACCATCGGGGGGCCTCGACTG